CTTTCATTTTGTCATCCCCAAAGTTACTGCTAACTGGTAGATTCCCCCATCCCACTCTATTTGAACATCTCTGACTCATTCTTCCTAGCACCACCCAAGTTCCATCTGAACCATTGCTTACATAATGTAAATACTTCACTTAATCTACGCATTTGTGAATGTTTGCTCAGCTGTCTTGGTGCCTTTGTGTCGTTCATTATGCTTTCAATTAACCTGTTTGATTCTGAGAGTGGAGGTAAGTAAGCCAAGGTTGAACCAGGTGGTTACAAGGAACATGACAGGTTGCAGATGGAAGGTGGTCAATGGTATGAGTGGACAAGTGGAAATTTGTTGTTAGACTAGGAAAAAAATGTTTGTTAGGTAACTGCCTTTTACTGGTGAAAAATATACTAAGCTTCTCCTTTCTATTGACAATAATTAAGTAGTAGAGTCTTTGGGAAGGATCATATTTTTGCTTTACTGATATAATCTGACGTTAACACCAAGCTCCCAGACGGCAGGAACTCACTTAACGATGGTTTACACAGAGTAATGTGGTTTAGCTCTATGAGTTAGTTGTTCCCATCAGCCACTAGTATTTAATAACCACTCATAAAGCTACAACTTCCATAGCTTCTACTTGTATCCACCCAACTTCTTTGACTTTGTGCAAGCAGTTCTCCTCTGCCCCAAATTTTGTCTCTAGTCCCAGCATGCTTCTGTCTCTACAATGCCAACTCCTACTCATTTATTAAGATTTAACCTTAAAAAAAAAAAAAGATTCAGCCTTAATCTTACCTTTTCAGGGTGAAGCTTTTCTGGGGCTCCCCCCATGTCTGCACCTCACCCCATCTGACACAGTTAAACCTTGCTTCTTCTCTGTTTCCATGGCACAAGTATAAATCTGTACCAAATTGCATTAAGATTAATTATTGATGTTCTGCTTCTTTTTATTCATTCTCTTAATTCCTCAGTATTTAGCACAATGCCTGGTATAGAGTAGGTGTTTGATAAGTCATTGTTGAATGCTGTTTAATTATGCAGAGTGACCCATACTCAAGTGTTGTCCTTAAAGTGCAGTCAATGAAAATAGCCTTTTTAGTTTTTTTTGCATCTAACACATGAAATATAAAGTAATATATAAAAGGACTCTGGAAGGCTCTTCCAGGGCTGGGAATGATAAGAGGGCCTCTCATGTTGTTTTCTCTCCCTCTTTCAGATCTTGGCTCATTTGAAATTCACTTTTAATTTTCTGCTTCCATCTAATAATAAATACAGAGGGAGAAAAGGATCAGGTAAAGCCTCGTTTGTCTAAGTGACTGGGGTCACGTGAAGTGTTGAACACCTTGCTGTTGAAGCACTGCCAGTGATGAATCAGGTATTTGTAGGGTGATTGCGGCCCAGCTCTGGACTATTTCTTTTAGGGAATTTATAATCTGAATGAAGCTGGAAAAAAATTGCGAATAATACAAAACAATAAAACCCCTACCTCCTTGTTGTGAGGAATCTGTGTAGCTCTTTTTAAAAGTTTATTTATTTATTTTTCATAAGTGAAAGAGACAAGAAAGACACACTAACCAGGGTCTTGATGCCATGATTCACCTCTAGCCTCAGCCAACTCGGGATCACAGACCTACAGAAGCCCAGTTTACTAAGGGGGATCTCTAGATACGAGCCCTGAAGCTCCATGTGGGTCAGCCTCACAGAGCATGGCTTTACTCCTGCACCACTTTCCAGGCTCCACAAACTGTCTCTTAAGAATATGTCCCTGGGGACCAGCAGATAGTGTAACTGCTATGTCACTGAACTCCCATGTAGTTGACTGCGGTTGGAATCCCAGGGCTGGTGGCTTAAAATCACACTGGGCACATGTCTGTGCCTGCCCAAGATCCCAAGAGGAGTATGGAGGAGAAGGGAGTGTGGTGTGGCCATCCCTCCTGGGGGGGATTTCTTGCTTTCTGTATCTTTGTCTCTGTCTTTCTGGCGAATGCATGCACCCTATAGCAAAACCTCTCCACAAAAAAAAAAAAAGAAAAAAAAAGTGTTCCTGGGGACCAGCAGATGGCGTAGTGGTTATATCACTGGACTCCCAGGGATTTGACCGCAGTTCAGTTCAAGTCTTGGACCCAGTGATTTAGAACTCATGCTGGGCGCATGATGGTACACGCTCAAAATCCCGAGAGGAGGATGGAGGAGAAGGGATTGTGGCATGGCCATCCCTCCAGGGAGTTATTTCTCGCTTTTGCCTTCTCTGTCTCTTCAGTGAGTGCACATGCCCTATAGCAAAAATCTCTCCAAAAACAAAAATGAATGTATCCCGAAGTTGAATACCATCTCCTCTCTGAGGTCTCTCCTGCTCTGTACCCTCTTCCCCAACCCTCTCTTCTAAGACAGTAAAGCATTTTTTTTCCAGTGCTGACACTCAACCTTGTACATAATAGGAGCAGCTGTCTTTGGGAGTCTTTATTTTATAACAGCCTGTGCACAACCTTTTTTGCTAAGTAACTATGATTATTATTCCTATTTTTATAAGCATAGAAACAAAGACTAAGAGAAACTAAGGAACTTGATGTAGGCATATACGAAGTAAGCTATGAAATACTAGATCTGAACCCAGGTCTGCCCTTCCCAATCTGGGCTTTACACCTCCTCACGATGTTTCAGAATCCACCAATTTCACCCTGCTGCCATGACCACAAAAGCAACTTTATTACTTATTATTATTTTTATTATTTTTTTTTTGAGGGGAAGAATTGCTTCTTCACCTTTAAAATTAAAAAAATATTTTTTTGAGATTTTTGCTATCGGGCATTTGCAGTCACTGGAGAGACAGACAAAAACAGAGAGACAGAAATGAGAAATCAGCCCCCAGGAGGGATAGCCATGCTGCAATTCCTTTTCCTCTATTCTCCTCTCAGGATTTTGGGCATGCACACACATGGGCCCAGTGTGTTTCAAGCTGCTGGGTCCAGGATTCAAACCATAGTCGACCATGTAGGGGTTCAGTGCCTTAACCACTGTACCACCTGCTGGCACCCTAAAAGAAATTTTATTGTGTATATTTAGCAACAACATGTTATGAAGTATGGTTACTATAGTGAAACAAATGAACATATTCATCATCTCAGTTACCTTTTCTTTGGGTTTGCTTTTATTTCAAGAGCAGCTGAAATCTACTCATTTAGCATGATTTCCATATACAGTATGAATTTATTGTTTCTTCACCTTTTGACATGCTGAGGCTTAGGCTTCTTTCTTTCTTTCTCAAAGGCTGCTGATCCTCACTTCCCCCAGCCTACTCTGGCAGTTAGCAACCCTGTACTCTTTCCAGCTCTATCTCCCACTACCCCATAAGCACTTTGGGGAAACACCTCAGCATTCTAGAGACGTTAGAGCTGGGAAGCTGCCTGACTTTTAAAAGATGGTGATGGAGGCCAGAAGGTGGCATAGTGGTTATTGTTAGTCCCAACCATATGGTTGGATTCTGGGACACAGTGGCTTGAAAATCACACCTGGCACAAGTGTGTGTGTATGCGTACTGAAAATTCCAGAAGGAGAATGGAGAAGGGACTGTGGCGTGATCATCCCCTCTGGGGGGTGATTTCTGTTTCCTTCTTTCTCTCTCTCTCTGTCTCTCTTTAGCAAGTACATGTGCACTATTTCATTTTTTTTTTTTTTTTAAAGAGAGATGGTGAAACATTGGGAATGGGAGCCAGAAATCTCCCATTTTAGTTGAAGCTAAACCTTAACAAGAGTCTTCCTATTTTTTTTTTTCCATCATCTGGCTGATTCCATTCAAGTGGCTCAGAGAGATTCCTGGTTTGATACTTGTATGACTTTGGTCCCAGACTGACTTTAAATCTTGATGGTTATTGTCCTCAGTTTCTTCCTCTGATACCAGCTTTGCCTCTCATCAAAGGCATGACTCAGACTGACCCTTCTGTTGGTAGCCCCACCCAGATGGAGCTCTGGGAACTTCTACCCTCTCTCAAAGCTGGCAAGAGTGGCTTCTGCTTTACGTTAGATTCGAATGTCCTTATCACAATGTATTACATTATCTAATCTGTATGCTTCCTCCTATATCACGAAATTAAAGTATCGAGGATGTATGCTACTTGCTCCTATCATCCTGTTCAAGCCATTGACCTGCACTTGGATAATGGAGTCTCCCATCATTATCCTCCCACTGTTTACTCTTAGCACAGCAGTCAGAGTGGTTATGTTGAAAGACTGAATCCGATCTGATTACTCCTGCTTCATGCCCTGTAGTGGGTCCTTACAATGCCCTTTAAGACTCCATTCTCAGACCTTCCTGTTTTCTCATTTCTCTCGTTTACTTCCCCTCCTCTACTTGTCCTGGCCTCCTCACTACTTTTAACACTTCCCAGAATATTTTTGTCTCAAGGCTTTTTTGCTACTGTTTCTCTTGCCTGGAATACTCTTTCCTAGATGACTGCATGGCCCCTCACCTCTTTATTATTTTTTAGGTTTTTGCCATAGGGTACGTATGCTCGCTGGAAAGAGACAAAGAAAGTGAGAAATCGCCACCCCTGGGAGATAGCCACTCTGCAGTCCCCTCTCCTCCATTCTCCTCTTAGGATTTTGGGCACACACAAACACATGCCTGGTGTGATTCTCAACTTACTGGGTCTGGGACTTGAACCATGGTTGACCATGTGGGAGACCAGAGCCTTAACCACCTGTTGGTTGTCACCTTCTTAAATCTTATTAAAAATAATAAACCTCTTCTTCCTACATTTCCCGCATATCCCTTACCCTAGTCTATTTCCCCCCCAAACATAATTAAACATAATTAAACATAATTCTGTTTATCATCTTTCCTCCTATGCTAGAATGAAAGTTCTGAGAGAGAAGGGTTTTTCTTCTTTTTCTCTTCTGTTCACTGATACAGCTCAAGCACTAAAGTAGTGATTGGCAAACATTTATTGGATGAGTCAATGAGTCTTCAGAATCTTATATAGGAAAGGAACATATGAGTAGATTGAATCCTGAATGCTTAGAAATGCTTGGTAAGTGGCAGGTTTGTTGAAGGAATGGGATCCTGAGACCTTAACTCCTATGGAGTCTTTATCTAATTTTTTCGCGGTCAGGAAAAGTTTCCAAGACCAATTCATGCAGGCCTTTCCTTTTCCTTTCATCATTTCAACTTAGTATTCATTTAACAAATATCCTGGTATCCAAATATTGAGCACCTACTCTAAGTGTGCTTGGTGCTGTGCGGAAAATATATGACTAATACAAATGAAGCAACAACAAATATGTCGGCGTGTAATTAAGTGTGAAATTACAGGGCAGACTATCAGCGCTAATAGCTCAGAGTAAGAATCAGTGAAGACTGACGTAGAAGTAAATTCCAAAGTCCACCAGCCCTCAGCTCTACCCTTCTAAATGCTCCACCTGTTGATAGCAGGACCATAACCGGGAAAGCTAACTTGCGACTCAGAAGGCCCTTAGAGCTCCAACTCCTTTGTTTTAAGGAGAAGAAAAACTAAGAGTGGGAACCGGAAAGGCCTGGGCAGAGATGGGTCCAGAACCCAGGACTCGTGAAGTTCTGAAAGGAAGGTGTCCTGAAGGTCCAAGGCGCCTGCGTCGGGGCCTGTAGAACGCGCCGTGGGCCAGGTCGGGAAGGAGGCCAGGGCGCATTCCTGGAGAGGCTAAGGTGCCTGTCGTTGTCGTTAACGGTGAGGTGGCAGAGGCCGGGGGCGGGGGCAGGTCACAAGGCGCCATTCTTCCAGAGCCAGGGCCCCCTGGAGTCTGTGGAGTAGGTCCAAGGCCGCCGGTTCCGGCAGTCCTTAACTGCCGAGCCGCCTCCGCCGTCCTCACTCCCCAGACGCCAGTCGGGGGCGCAGGGACTCCACGTCGCTCGGAGATGCCAGCCGCCGGCTGACCCCAGGGCGCGGGGCCAGGTCCCGGCTTGTCGCAGGGCACTACTTGTCCCAGCGGAGGGATCGGGCGCACACAGCAGCGGGCGACGGC